GAAATAGTGGGAGTTAGTTGTTGTTTGATGTCTTTATCAGAAGCAGCCATCCAAATTGGCGTTACATATGTAAGGATTGGCCTGATTATGGTCATGTAAATATGCCCTTTCTTTGAGAGGTCAAGCTTAGAGAATTTCACTATTAATGGAAGAGTATAGTGAATAACAAAATTCGCTTTTCTCTTGATACATTTGACGTAATCTGTCCAGAAATCTTGTTATTTGAAATGATACCAATGTATTTAGCTTATTTTACAATAAGTGTCACTTCTCTGAAGATTGGAAGATTTTTGTTTCTGAAGTATGCCTTTCTGGAACGTCTTATAGCAAGGAGTTGTAACTTCTGAGCATTCATGCTCACCTTCCATTTATTACACCAGTCTCTCTATCTAAGGGATAGCACAGTACTGTTCACTTAATACGTAAGCATGGAATTTGAAGAGGAGAAGTGCTGATGGACATCTGCAACATAGAATAAACAGAGTGTCGGTCTAAGAATACTGCCCTGTAGAATACTATGATAGATAGAAGTTTCATCAGAAATTTTGTTCCCAACAGAAACTTGGAAGCTGTGGTTGGTGAGGAGAGAGTGATGTAGCGAAGTAATCTCTTTGATAAAGTGCAAAACCAGTTAGCTTGTTAATGAGCCTCTCATACCAGACACAATCAAAAGCCTTTGCCACATCTAGCGTAAAGAGGGCTACATTAAGTTTATTATGTTTGGCTGCCTCGATAAACTCTTTGATCTGAACAAGTTATTTGATCATAAGTTGTTGCTGGAACCCAAATTGTTTCAGGAGGGAGGATAATTTTATCCTATTCATGATGATGCATTCAAAAATTTTTCTAGGCCTGGGAGAAGACTAATAGGATGATATCCTTTGGGTTTAGTGAGACCTTTCACAGGCTTTGGAATCAGAATAACTAGCTTTTTTTCTGGGCATCTGACAAGATGGACATTTCTGGACATCTGATAAGAGTGCATCTGACAGGCATTTAAGCTGGAGGTGTATTTTCCAATTGTGAACTGACGGATCCTTTTGATGGCTGTGTTTGTTATTTCATCAGTTCCTATTGCTGTCTTTATTTTTAGTTTTTTGATAACATTCATAACTTCAGAGGAAGTTGCAAATTCCGGCAAGTTCCTGACTGACAGTGGGTTAAGCCAGTCACATAGTTGCAGACTGTTAATTTCAAAATTTTGGTCACATGGCTGGAAGTTTGGCATAACTGTTTTTTAAGGTGCTTTACAAAAATAGTCGATTTATCTTATTTCATTATGTTGTTTGTTGATCATCATAGATGGGGCAATTGTAGGGGTAGGAACTTTTGAAAATTTTTTAATAGTTTTCCAGAATTAATTACCCTTGGGATCCAAATTTTAAATCTTGTAGTGTTCTCGCTTGAATTGCTTTATCAATAATTTGATGTCATGTTCAAGTCTATTAATTGTACATTTTGTGATAGGATCCCAGGTAAGATGATACTTCTTATGCAATTTGTTTCTCTTGTGAATAAGGTTTCAAATATGCAGGGAAAGTTTGAAGTTGTGATCACTGGTGTACACAGTGTCAGATGTGTTGTGCATGGCTTGATGAATGCTGTTCTTGAGATTTTCAACTGCATCATCAATTTGATGCTTGATTTTGAGGTTTATAGAATCCAGCAAGACGTCAGAGATAAGGTTTTAAAAAAGCATCCAGTCAATGACGGCTTGTTGAAGCCAGATATCAGGTGTAGATATTCCTAGGGATCACAATGAAAGGTAAGTGATTTGAGCTAAGTTTGTGCTTTACATCTGTTGCGATGGGAATAGCTGTAGTTGTAAGCATAAGATCTAGCTTGTCAAGAGAAATTTAATCTAGCTGGCTGGTAGGTATATTCACAAGGTATGTACAAAGCAGTCAGATTATTCGAGACATAGCTTTGCAGTGTAATTCTATTTGGGTTATGCCTGTAACAGTTCCAATCCTTATGTTTAGCATTAAGGTCACCTGCTACCAGTATAGAGGTATTAAGTGGAAGTATTGAAGCACGAATGTTGTTATTTAACTGTTGTTATGACATTTGTGAAGGCAGTCATATTGAATTTACTGTAAGAGGAGAGTGAGACACATGCTGTAATGTCTTCATCTTCACATTGGCTGAGTCTGTCACACCTGTAAGAACAGTAATTTGGGATGCTAAGTTTAAGTCCCAGCATGGTGCGAGTTTCAGTTATGAAAGTTATGTCAATAATGTGCATTGTAAAAAAATTTTGTATTCTCTCAGTTTGCTATGAAGCCTGGAGGCGTTCCAACACATTGTGCATATGTGTACATTATTAACAACGTAATTATTCATAAAGTTTGTTTGGAGAAGCTTCATCGCTTGTAGTTTTGCTGTCATTTAATTTAGTAAGAAGAGGTAATCCCAACTCACAAATGCTGGAGACTAAGTCCGTTAAGTTTTTGAGCACTTGTTTTGCTTCAGTAACTGCATCCACCATTAATCTCAGTTGAGAGAGCTGAAACATATGATTCAGTGGTGATTAATCAATCAGCGTATGTATGTATCTGCCTGTAATGCTACCTTAGGTTTTGGAAGCTTAGAACATCCTTTGAAATTTGAGATATGGAAAAAATTGCAATTCGCATAGGCAGAAGGCAGGTTTCTGTTTTTCTTCACAAATATGATTAATGATTTTCACCTTAGTGTGCACACCTAGGTTTGTAGTTACAGTTATTTTGAGTATGATGAAACCCCTGGCAGCGATAACACTGCAGAGGCCCAGCTCTTCTCTTGTAAAGCTGTACTTTGACTTGCATTCAGAGAATGAACTACACATGAAATAGTTCTTTGGATGTGTCTGTTTCTGACAGGGTCATGAGAAAGAGTTCAAGTTTAATAAGTTTTTCATCATGTCTTTTGGTCATCTGTTGGACAAATTCAACTTGAAAACCCAGATTGATAAAATCATTTCGGCTATCTTCTGCTTTGATATATGCAGGCATACCATGAATTACTAATTTGAGATTTTTACTTTCAGGCAGCATGAAACTGTTAAAGTAGATAGCTTTGTCTTTGAATATTTTTTCATCTGATGGTAGATACTTGAATTTTCGAGAACAAGATTTTTGCTCCATGCTTTAGCATTTTTGATAAAATAATTATGTTTTTGGAAGTTGTGGCTTTCCAGGAGGTATTAGTGGTGGTACTCTGGAATGCTTTCAAAGCATTCCAGAGTACCACCAAGTGTTCACTTGGAGAGTGGTCTGGGCATCCTTTAGGACAGCATCTGCAGTGAAGCTTTATATTGGCTGTATGTCCATTTCATGGATCAGCAACTGCGAATCTGGAGTTTTCATGTGTGCAGAGGTTGTCATCTGTGAAGTTTTGATTTTAGGTGCTAGGGTGGCTTGATTAAGGCCAAGACCATGCATATGTCTTCTGTTCTTTATGGGAATAGTCATGCAATCTCCATCACTGATCTCATCTTGGCTATCGGCATTGAGCAGAGTTTCCGCAAGTTAGTTGTCAAAGCTGAAACAAGTGGCAGCTGGGACCCCAAACCTCTGGTGTTGGTCCTAGCAATCTCTTGTTGCAGGAGCAAGAAGTCTCTGTCATCATGGGTTTTAGGATTTTATTTATTATATCAGTAGCATTGTATTCTAGATGCAGAATAACATCCTTAATCAGAGCAGGCCCACTGGCAGTGGCCAGGTTGTTCCTTCTTTGGGTGGGCATACAATGAACATGATCACTCATAACAAAAAGCATAACCAGTTCGTGTTGAGAGCTGGTCAATTGATATTCTCTCGACTGCAAGTCTGGGGCCATAGAGCTGATAAAATCGGCGAGTTTTTTTAACATTGTTAGACAAAAGCACATCAAATCAAAAATCAAAATGCAAAAGAGGAAGGCAAATTTGCCAAAGCAAGGCTGTTTAACAACTCAGCAAACTGAGATAGATGCATAATGATAAATTAAGACAAACTACAGCGTAAAAGTATTCAAGATGGTAGTATAAAATAGCACATGTCTGAAGAGATTTGGTAGAAATTATTGAAAAATCCCATTCTTATCATCGCATTGACTTGGGCAGTTCTTGCATTAGCTTAATACTGTGACTGTCCACAGAAAGGTGTACATTCTGAGTTAATGATGGTCCAGGTGCCATATATGCAAAGCATGGATTGCCGAATGAATGAAAAGCTTCAGCTGAGTTTGTGTAATGCCCATAATTCATAGACTACAGACACTTAGAAAGCTGTTGTTTAGAATGAAGAAACCATGCTCAACACCCTTCTAAGCTGATAGTTCAGTTAGGGCTTGGAAACAGCTATGGGAGGATTTTGGGGGAGGGGTGGAATTTTATTGTGTAACTTAATTATGGCTGAGATTCCATAGTTGTGGGAGGATGTTTTCCAAAGCTATGATTGTGCATGTTATTTAGGTTACACCAATCTATGGTTGCAGGTGTATTTCACAAGATTTAGGGAAATTCTATCCTGCAAACAATGTGGCAGAATTACAGAATGAACTTGTTTCTTCTAGCATGATTAATTTAATTCCTGTCTCATTGTGCAGTTTTTACAGGACTGCTTTCTTGTGAGTAAAGTTGAATGGCTAGAATGTACTTTTCAGAGCCATTAAATCTAATTCTAATAATCTAACAGTATAGTTGGGTAAGATACTGGAGTAATGTATATAACACTGATAACAATTGTCTGCTCTCTTATCTCTGGTAAAGCTTTGTAGAATGAATGATGAGACATTTCCCTTAAGAACATTAAAAAGAAAAAATTATTTGACAGCTTGCCCTAATGTTCAGTTGCTGTTATGCAAACATATGACGAGTTAAGTAATCTGTGTTGGCAGGACATTAATATTTTCTTGAAAAGAAATATCAAGAAAATATCAATTTTCTTAGATTCGTATGATATTTGAAATACTGTTGAATAATATGTTACATTTCCTTCTTTTCCTTTTATATACAGAGCCTGTAATTTTTGTTTCAGCAAAAAAGAAGATAATATTAGTATCCCTTTGAAGAAATTGGAATCATTTGTATTAGAATTAATGCTGCAGTATTTTAAGTTTGTTGAAATCAGAATTTCACACGAGGTATGTATCTAGTGAATTGTTTAGAAAGATATTTTCTGTTTAATTTTTTCCCAGTGTGCTGTGAAAAAATAAGCTGAGATTTCTACCTGCACTATGAAGAAATAAATTCTGTAATTTTTTTTTTTTTTAACTAAATTGCAATGCAAAAGAAAGGATACTCTATAACCTCTAACATTTCTTTAATTTTTTTTAAAATTAAGTATAAAGAAAGCTGTAGTACAGGGTTTGCCAAACTTCATGTCAGTAAGAGCTGCATATTGGAATTCAGGAAATTTCTACAGAGGCAATTAGATTTTTTTAAAGCCACAAGTCTGTATTTACATCATTTTAAAAGTAGTTAAGCAGGTTTCAAATGGAAAGGAATGTATGATTCGAAACAATCATTTAGTGACAATTTGTCTTTGTGTGATGATGCATTGAAAATGTGAAATTTGGGGTGTTTTTCTTTTCTCTAATGACAACTCGGTGCGGTAAAAATACACTTTTTTCAGTTTTTAAATACCACGTTTCTTCTGCAACACTTTTTCTAAATTGAGATCTATCACAGTTTTATAATGCTCATGAAACTTTGGATTCTTCATATATCTGGTCCACAGCAACTGCTATCTCAAAATTATCCCATTATTCCCCTGCATGCTTGTTCTGTATACTGTCCTGCTTGTTCCGTATATGGCTAGCTGTGTATCTGTTGTCCTCATGGATTTTTCAAAATCTTCTAAAAGTAATGAACGTTGTCTTCTAAGCTATGACTGTTGTAAGATTTCTTAGATGTTACTGAAATTCCCAGTTGCTGTAAATTTCTCATCAATTTGAATGTTGAATTAACTCCTAAATTTTTAATTTCTATGAAATTATTTATGATATTAAATGTTTCTGTTCTGCCCACAGACCACCTGGAATCTGGCAGGAAATCTGGCATCTGGCAGACCCTTTCCAAAAAGCATCCACAAGCATTCATCCATACATTCATAAAACATTCACAAACAAATCCAACTATGAAAATTTTCTTTGCAAAATTATTTTATTCAATCCTTACAGTGTTTTTTTTAAATAACATTATTAAGTTAAATAGGTTATTATTAAGTACATAGGCTACTTCAAATAGGTTTTCTTAAAGTGGTACTAATAAAGAAGCCTTTTCAATCTTTTTTGTTGACATGTATGAATTACACTAGTGCACATCATTCAGATCCTCGGAAAGAAGTCAGTGTCACATCACATGAAAATATGGCACTTCAAGCGAAACAGTTGACCAGTATATTGCCTTACAGGCCGGAAGAAACAGGAGGCAGACAGCGGGAGAAATCGCTAGACACACGACACAGGCGACTGGACAACCGATATCGCGTTTTACCATGGCCAGAAGACTGCACGATGGTGGTCTGTTTGCACGATGCCCTGTACGGTGTGTACCTCTAACGCCTGCCCATCGGAGAAGGCGTTCTCTGTGGTGCCGGGAACACCGGAATTGGAGAGACAATGAATGGGGACGAGTACTCTTTACAGATGAGAGCAGATTCAGTCTGAGTAGCGATTCTCATCGCATACTCATCTGGAGAGAGCGGGGAAGCCGCAATCATCCCTCGAACATCATTGAAAGGGACAGGTATGGAGGTGGCGGTGTTCTCGTTTGGGGAGGCATCATGCTTGGTATTCGTACAGACCTTCACATCATCGACGCAGGTTCAGTCAACGGGACCTGTTATTGTAATGAGATTCTTCTTCCATATGTGCCAGGACTTAAAAGAGAAGGGCTAGCTCATAGAGCTTTTTCCCCTGAAACAGGCAGCGGGGAGTGATGACGTAGCCATAATGACACTGAACGCGGAGATGCAATTGACAACATAGAAATTAGTGTTTTAAATTTGAAGAATCAGCGTTTAAAATGAGCTGTGAGTGAAAGACAGTTATCATTTAGAACAGACAATGTTACTGTAGTATGCGTTTTACACTGAACATTAAAAAATTTAATTTAACAAATTTTAAAATAACTAATAAAATATGCTACTCTTAACATAAAGTTCCTTTTTTTTTAATTTGCAGGGATTGTTTTTTTTTAAATGCCTGTTTATTTCTAATCATTTCTTTATCTGAGATTTAATTAAAAGAACTATACTACTGTTTCTAAGATAACTATAATAACAGCTTTTTAAAATTAATCAAAAAGCAACCTTAAATTGGCATAGTTTTCAAAATTTCTGCTAATCTGAGTTTCAGCCTAATTGTAAATTTTACATTGGTATATTTCCCGATTCAATATAATAAACATATATATTTTTTAATAATTTTGTAACTTAGGCTTACATCAATATTACATTTAAATAAATGCATGTAAGATTGTTATTTTAATTTAGACAAAACAACTTTACTCACAGTACCTAAAAAAAAAATTATTTAATTTTTCAAAAGTGGGGGTTAAGGAGGCAGGTCTTCTTATGTCAATTACTTTAATTTTATATTATTATATTTTATCTAGAATGCTAAGCTAGCACAACATCGAATCAATAATAACACAATATACAATAAAAATAACTTTAACAATAAATAACTTAACAAAATTAGTTCTCATTTGAAATATGCTTTACGCTATTAACTTCTAAAATGTCATCTACAAATACTTAAAATCAAAACATATTATATATGCTTTCTTGTACAGTCACAATGCAACTACCTCTGCAAAATAAACGAATTGCTTCTCTGTTAACTTCAGGATAATGTTTCTCCAGTTTATTAATTAATGAGCCAATTACATGCTTCCCTTTATAGTAACCTGTACCATGAACTGCACAAAATATATTTTTTGAAACTCGTAAACTGTATTCATCTATGAATGGGAAGGTGTAGTCAAACCTCCAATCTATTAATAAGTCCAATATTTTAATTAAGAATGAATAATTTAATCCATTCTGAATTAAAATATTGGTTCATCAGCACTATTTTTAGATATTTTTCCCAATGATGGGTCTTTGTTTCGCACACGTTAGGCAATATAACCTGCAACATATGTTAATGCTTCTTTTTCGGCGGTCGAAAATTGTATGGCGGAATTCAATTCTAATTCCCAAGATATAGGAGAAGGTTCCATAGGAAAAAGTGGAAGCCATAAGAAAAAGCGGTTTCTCAGTAATTTGAAGCAGTGCACTAAATCTGCAAAAACCCATATTTTTTTCGTTTGCAATACTGTATTTGGAAACTGAGAACTATTAATCGAAATCTGTAACTCTTTCCACAAAGTACTAGATCATCCTAAATCAGACACTATTGCTTTCCCTTCTACTCCAGATGATTGTGTTTGCGTGTGTGATTATGGCAAAGCCTCGAGGGCTATCTGCCTAAGGGAAGGGATGCCCTCGTGGAGGACTTTCTAAGGGAAACTGGCTCGTATACACGTTACACATGGGGAAAACCACGAAAACGCCCATGCAGCCAGCCCGTTCGCGGGATTCGAACCTCGGACCGAACTACCAGTGTTCAGCGACTTTTCCGCCCGGCCGCTGGTGGGCCCAGATGATTGAATATGTCTTTTTCATTCGAGTGTTAAAATAAAAAAATATTGGTTGTTTCCACTGCGAAATGAGACCTCTGATTAAACCAAACTGCACTTTTTGAAAAGGACCGAGAATTTGGTCCAGTTTAGAGTCATAGCTAAGTTTAGAATCTATATGCATTTCGTCGAAACCGAGAACGCATATTTTTTCTACAGAATTCAAATATTCGCATCGTTCCTTCATTACAGCAAGAACATCACTCTGAATTCTTGGACTACATGAAAATTTAGCGCACCATCTCCTTAATATGTTAGTGCTAGGTAAAGGAATTCCTATTTTTTCTTACCAAAAATCGTTCCTTATAGATGACAGAGCTCTTATGACAATGCAACGTGAAATATCTTCACTAGTCCACCTGATTTTTTCCTTCTTTTCTAGCAATGCGTTAATCTGCGTCTTTGTAAAAATATGCTTTAGACCGTTTTTCCTAATTCTCCTATCCGTGCTATTTTTTCCTAAATTTCACTGTTTGGGATTTTAATTTCGAAATTTCCGATACAAATTTCTTTATAGATGTCGTCCACCTTCTTTGTCGCTGAGCAAACATTCTAAAATTTTTCTTTTCTCTATTTTTCAATATTTTATTACAATTTTCTAAGGATATTATTTTGTTCTTCAAATTATCAATACATTCTTGTTTATCTTTACACTTAGGGCATTCAGGGATATTGTCACTTAGGACATTGTCACTTGTGAATTTTATTTCAAAATCATTGACATTTGATTTATTATTGTCAGCTTCAATTTCGTTCTCAGCTTCAAAATAAATTTTCTTTGGTATTAATTCATGTAGTTTTTCAAAACCACTCTGCATTACTTTTCTTTTCAAATGTCTCCGATTTCATGGTGTTGTTTCATTTATTGCATACGATAAATTTACTTTCGGCACAGTATTGCATTTCAACAGTTTCTTTTGCGGCAATCCAAGCAAGCGATTTCTCATGTCATCTTCATAATCACTGCACAGAAAATGTTCGCCATTAATTCTTGCGTTTTCACATTAATAGAATCCTGTCTTCGACATTCATGTATCCATTCTTTCGTCAAAAGCAAATTGTCTTTTGGGAAAGCAGGAAATACAATATCTCTTCCTTTCGTATTTCTATAAGCATTACGGCACGTTGCTACAGCACAAGAAGCCATATTACATAAAGGATACTTTAAATATAGAATTTAAAAGGAAAGCTGACTAAAACTATATATATATACCAATTATTAAATATTTGCATTATTAGAAAACAAATATGTATGATTAAAATTAATTTGGGATATGCGACCTCCAGAAAATAGTTTCGTAAGTGAATGAAAGTACAGTTTTAAATGCGCGAAATCAGAGCAGGTGCAACACAGACACGTCATATTACTTCCAATTCATCCCCTCCATGAGGCTCGCGTCGGCGAGGAGTCGAACAAAAAAATGACCTAGCCCTTCTATTTATCCCTGATATATGCATCTTTTTAGAGGCGCTATGGGTCCGCAGTTCCTTTTCATGGACGACAATGCACCATGTCATCGCACAGTAGCTGCCGAACAGCTCTTAGAGAGTGAGAATATTGAACGTATGGATTGGCCGGCATGATCTCCGGATCTCAATCCCATCGAGCATGTATGGGATTTTCTAGGCAGACGCTTGGCAGCTCGTACCTTACCACCAGTAACGATTCCGGAGCTTCGATTGGCACTGCAAGGCGAATGGGCAGCAATGCCTCAACAACTCATTGACACCCTCATTCTCAGCATGAGCAGACACTGTAAAACCTGCCTAGCAGTCAGGGGAGATCATATCCCCTATTAAAGACCGGATGTTTCTTGCTGGACACTAATCACAGGGATGTTTCGGCCTTCAGTCTCAGCCATGCTACTTTTTCAATAAAGCTTCTTTTTATCCCTCTGATTTCTCATTTAGTAAATGTTGCTTACATTACTCATGTCCTTACGTGTTGGGGATCTTACGGTATTAATTGTGTTGATTGGGAAAGCTTTTGTACAAAGTTATATTGAAAAAAAACCATCTCGTCCTTAATTTTTGCACACCAGTGTATTTCTATTTCCCTGTCTTTTTAAGTGAACTCTGCTTTGCATGATCCTGATAAAACATACTCTGGGGAAATAGAAAACGCGTGACAATGTGTGTGTGGTAATGATAGAGACCACATTAAACCTTGATGAGTGTATCTTGCTTCTAATGGATAATGATACTTTTCACATCAGTAGGGAATCATTTTCACATCATCTGGAAATAGTAAAGTGGTTAGTGATTGTTTGAACATTAGAGAGCCCAAATACCTGAAGAGAATCTTGAGACTTATTTACCAAATGCCAGCCTAATGACCTTTAAGTCATTAGGCTGCATATTGTCTAATATTTTTCCACAAGACATTTAAAAGGAATTAATGTGGAGCATTCGTCAATGTGAGCAGCAGTAATATAGGTTGTCCAGTTGGACACAGAATATAAAACAGAAGATTCAACAATATAAAACAAAATAAATGGGCACAGAGGCAGTTGTTTTCTGTCAACAGTTTAAAAGTGGTCACCGCAGCTGCATGATGAGTATTTGAAACTAGATGAAATTTTGTGCTGAGGACTCTCCAGGAT